AGAAACAACAGTGATTATAAAAATTTTTAAATTTGGCTGTTTTTTCTTTAATTGCGATATAATAACATTAGATACAACGACTTCAGATATATTTCTACATCAACTGAGGAAGCTTTAGCTGTATGATCGATAAACTATTATCGATAAAAAAAACTCTAAATTACTAAAAACTATAAATTAATCCCAACTACTTGGGGTCGGCCTCTGTTATACTAAACTTCCACTTGACACGATCTCCCCGGACCCGGACACTTCGCAGGAACCGATTCGACGCCGACCCATTTCGCCTCCAGACTCTTGACCCTTTTCAAAAAATTACAATTATTTTAGCCTAATCCTTCATTGAACAATTCCTTAAAATCCAGTACAATAATAAAAAATGAATTGTTTATATAATATCACAAATTATTTTAATTTAATTTGTAGTTAATTATTATACATAAATGTTATCATAATTATAATAATCATTGTTATTTTTTCATATTAACAATTAATACTATTGAAATATAATATGATCTTATTTATATGTATAGATAATAACAATGTGATACAATTATTAATTATTAATGTATATACTTGGCACCGTATCAAAAATTAGCAAATCCAGTTTTAGCAAATTTTAGATATTTTTCATGAACAAGGTATAAAGTACACAAAAATTTTGTATTCTCTTGAATAGCTATTTTAATAATTTTAGAAATTAAACAATTAAAACAACTTAAGTCAATATTATAAATTTTTATTTAAAAAAAAAAATTGTCACCTTTAAAATAAACTATTCAAACAATTTAAATGGTACATATGCGTATCGAATCATATGGATGCGAATATAGTAAGATACTTTATTATTTTGTACTATTATTTATTTTATATAAGAAATTTTTTTTAACAGTAAATCAAAGTTTTAGAATGGTTAATTAAGGTAATTTTTGTTTTAATAATACAACATATTAATTGCTTTAATTTATTCTTATAACAGTTATAATCGTATATTTTAAAACGAACTTTATTAGGCTATCCAGTAGTATTTTGAATATTTAAAATATAAAATAATACTATATTTCAAGGTAGAATTTTGATATCCGTAAACTAATTTATTAAGTACAAATTATTTTAATATCGACAAAAAGTTGAGTTAACGAGTGAATGGATTATACCTTTACTAAACATATAGTAAATTGATAAAAATGAGTGCATTTATTAATCGCGTGAACCGGGTCGGACCGGTAGCAATTGATTAGTGGTACTCAGGCAAGTTACCCCAATATAGTAATCCCAACTCCGAATTTTGGATAGCTTATTACTCGGTGGCTATTAATCGTAGAGTCACCGAGTTTGCGGTAGCAATTTTAGTTTAAGTCCCTTAAGTAGAACGCTATCACTAGAAGGGCGCAAAATTCATTCCCAGTGAATTTGCTCATTTTTGAGAAGATCCTTCCGAAACAAAGTGCACCTCAGAAATACTACAGGAAACGGATCCCACGAACCTACCTAACATATTATTTTTTTTCATTATTTTAAACTTACTTAAAGATAAACACATTTCACTTGAAACATCAATAACTTATTTAAATTGAATATTGATAATATATATATATATATACAGGGTGATTTTTTTATCATAACCCACTCAATTACTTATAGAATAATAATAATTAAAAAAAATTTTTTTATTATTATCTTTAGTTACACATTATTCTTGAAGTATTAACTATGTAATACTTTTTAAGTTCATCCCTTATGCCTGGTAAGGGTGTCAACTTTGTTTTTTTAAACGGTAACACATATTTTTAATTTAATAAAATGTTCGAGTTTTTAATTCAATAATAAATGGCATTTGAATTTTTAATAAAACTTAATTTGTTTATTAGATATAAACATTTAAAGTTTCAAATTTTTGAGTTAATATATAGGTATAATACACAAGGGATTACAAATACAGGTAGCTAATTGGTTTTTTATGATATTGCTATCACAGTCACGGATTGTTTATTATCAATTATGACTATCAATAGATATACTTTTTGTATTGTCAGTTAGTGTATTTATAAACTCACAACAATGTACCTTACTATCATTGATAATAACAATGCTGTGTACCTGCTAATATCGATGTCATAAAAAATCAATTAGCTTCCTGTATTTGTAATCCCTTGTGTATTATACCTATATATTAACTCAAAAATTTGAAACTTTAAATGTTTATGTCTAATAAATAAATTAAGTTTTATTAAAAATTCAAATGCCATTTATTATTGAATTAAAAACTCAAACATTTTATTAAATTAAAAATATGTGTTACCATTTAAAAAAACAAAGTTGACACCCTTACCAGGCATAAGGGATGAACTTAAAAAGTATTACATAGTTAATAATTCAAGAATAATGTGTAACTAAAGATAATAATAAAAAAAATTTTTTTAATTATTATTATTCTATAAGTAATTGAGTGGGTTATGATAAAAAAATCAAGTAATTATTTTTTTTAAATGTTTAAAGCCATATTTATTATGTTTTATTTATTTGATTATTAAATAATAAAAATAGTGATAGTTAATAGTGATTCAAGTTTCAAGCTTATTTAAAGCAATACATTTTATTTAAATTAAAAAATTATAGTATACATTTTTACTCAAATACTAATTATTTTAAAAGATTTTTATTTAAAACTTGTCTATGATCATATTTAGATAATATTATCTATGCATTGTATATTATATCATAATATATTTATGACTTGGTGTGTAACTTTACTTATGATTTTGAATACTCAGGTTAGAGCATAATCTTGTGTAGAAATATATATTATTCTCCATTCTTAATTAGTAGGCGTTAAGTGGATACCTTACACTAAATATACTACACCTTATCAAAACTACTTCAAGAAAATTTTTATTTGTAATTATATTTTATATAGTATATTTTTAATAATAATAATAATTGATCACTTATGGCTAATATTATTTAAAATTAAAACTATATTTAAAATATTTAACTCAAAAATCCATAAAAAAATTACTAAAAAATCGAGGATACGTATTCCGGGAATGATGTTACCATTATTAAAACTTAACATATACTTATTTTGTTTAATTCTGAATGGCGTGAAGGCCAAAATGATTAAATATCCATAAACTCAATTTTACATAGAAATACTAATACAGGGTGTTCAGTAAGTCAGGAAACGGGTTTCTATTGTTCTCATTGTTTGTAACACCCTCTATAGAACACCCTGTATAGAAAAATCCATTTAGTTAAAATAAAAAAAGGAAATGTTGTTAGATAACAATAATAGGTTGGATTGGGATAGTAAAGATATGTTAAATAAATAAAGTGTTACATAATATGATGGAATAAAAGAATTTTTCACAAAAATCATATTTTTTTTTTTTATATTAACTTTAATGTCCGTTTTCACCATAAAAATAAAATAAAATTCAAAATTTTTTTTTCATATTAAAGTATATTACATAAGTTTTAATTTAAGATATATATATATATATATTCCATTCTGATATTGATATTATTATTGAAATAATATTGAGTTAAAAAGTTTCAAAAATTTTTTAAAGATGAAAAATTTTTATTTGAATTTATGTATTTGTAAAACTATTTTAGTATTAAAAATATTCATTTTTGTACACCTAGTCAACTGGTATTTTTGAATTTTACAATATATTATAATTAATAATAAATTTGATAATTTTAAGACTGAAATAGCACAAATTTTTATATTGACATATTTTATAATCATTTTATATAGTTTCATTATATTTAATTTTAAAACTGCAAGCAAAACATAATAACCCAAATTATATTGTAATATCTAGGATGATTTAAGTTTGCTTTTTTATGTGTATTTTAAAAATTTACTTTTTAAAGTTCATTTTATGTTTATTTATGTCTTTTAAACAACTAATTTAACTATTGAAAAGCCATACGAACTGTGATTATTATATTTTTATTTTTATAATTACTTAAAGATTTTGTATTATATTTCCTTTCGATATAATAAGATATTGAAATTATTTTTTATGTATTCATATGTAAACATTTATTAAGCACATTCATTAAATCTTTTATTAAATTGTTATTTGTATAATTTTAATTTGGATGTCATTTGTCTTTGTATTTTAATAAATTGGAAATTATAATATATACATATATATATTGTCTCTAAATGTGTATTTTTTTTGATGAATTATATTTGTTTAACATTGTAAATTTACCTTTAAACATAAAAAGTTATTCATGTTAAATATCTACTAATGCGACATACAACTATACAGAAGAATGTTACTTATAGCAAGTGTTAAAAATAATAATTTTTACTGTGGGAAAGATCTTATTGAGGATATTATATAAAAAAGATTATTATAGAAAAGTGGTATTTTTTCCAGAAATAAATAGTAAGTAGCTTTTTTATTTATAAAAATGACACTGTAAAAATTATCTTAAAATAAAATCTATTTAATTTTAAAATTTTACCATTTTATAAGAATTATAATTTATATTGATTCTTATAGTAATAAAACATTTTAATTGGAGCTTCTAATGAATTCTTAAAAGTGCAATTACCTCTTTTGTGTACTTCATTTGTAACATAAAATCTCCGTAATAATTAAACTATGTAAAACATTTATTTAAATAACGTTAACTTAAAAATAAGGTTCTTAATCAAATGTTACATTGTAATATTTTCTGTAATCATTAAAAAAAGAAAAATTATATTTTTTCCCCAAAATTGATAAGTATTTTTTTTTATTACTCTGAAAGTTTATAATTACATTAGCATAATTGTTTTATTTAAAAGTATAAACATTTATCGTAGTATTATGATTTAATTTTAGTTTAGGCCAATAGTTATTTTATTTATAAATAAACATACAAAAATCCGTTTCTAGGTAACAAAATTTTTATGTGCTTAGATCAAATAAACAGTTTTTTCTTCAGGAGGTGATCTGACGTGAACGAAGAAAGTTTAAGTATTTTTTCACACGATGACATCTCAAACCGAACATAACGAAAAAGCTATAGCTTTCTCTAAAAAGTTTGTACTTAGTAGAAATTGGCGAATGCCGCGCTCAAATAGTATGTTTACAAAGCCTTCTTGGAAATTACACAAGTTTCAAGAACTGAAATCAGAGTTGAATTTCGTTAAGCACAAACTGGACAACTTCAACAGCGAAACATGGCATGCGCATACAACCAAAATGAATCCTGCTGGATTAGTCATTGGTCATCTTAAGAAAAATATACGTCCTGATTTTTTGACTCAAGCTTGGTGTAAGTTCTATGAGATCTTAGGAAATTCTTCTTTGCTTACTCAAGAACGTACATCCAAAGCTAATTTCAACTCTGTACATCTTTGTGAAGCTCCTGGAGCATTTATTTCTGCACTGAATCATTACATATCACTAAATCATCATAACTTAAATTTCGACTGGTTGGCCATGACACTTAACCCGTACCATGAATCTAATGGCCAACCTGAAATTATTACTGACGACCGCTTAATATTGAACACATTAGACAAATGGGAATTCGGTCCGGACTATACTGGTGACATATTTCAACCGAAGTATCACGAACACTTATTGGCGACGGTTTCTAAAAGATTTGTAGACGGCGTAAGTTTGGTAACGGCCGATGGAAGTATAGATTGTCAAAATGATCCAGGAGAACAAGAATGTACTGTCATGCGTTTACATAATTACGAGGTAATGGTTGGTTTGAACATATTAAAAGACAGAGGATCATTTGTATTAAAAACGTTTACGATATTTGAATGTAACACAATTTGTAGAATATACTTGCTTTGTTGTCTATTTAAATCTGTCGAAATTCAGAAACCAGCCACAAGTAAGTCCGGGAATTCAGAAATTTATATAATATGCAAAGATTACAAAGGTAGACAATTTGCTGAGCCTTTTATTCAGTCGTTTTTCGAAAGTGAAAACCACGAAAATGCAATGTTTCCTCTTGGGCAAATACCCAGAACTTTTATTAACGAAATATTCAAGTGTTCAAGTTATTTTTCAAACTTACAAATAAGAACTATCGAGAGGAACATTAGATCGTGGTTTCTAAAGGCCGAGTATTATAATGAAATGAAGGAAATTCAAAGTTATGTGTGCAAAGAGTTTATCAAAAGATACAATTTAAAACCGATTCGTGAAGACCAAACTCTTATATCAAAAAACGTATCCAAAAAGTACAATAAGAAGATATTTGACGTCTCGTACGCGGAAAAGATGAGCCGTCGTGACTTAAGCCTTCGAGAAGAAGCTGAAATATTGTACAAGGACATGACAAAATTTTCCAATTTAGAAAATAATATATGGAATAAAAAATTATCTGTACGATGTAAAAAATCTAACATCGATGTGTCACAGGTAAAATTTTGTATGGGAAAGCCAGTAACGAAAGTACGCGGATCAAAATTTTGCGATGGGTCGTTACTTGAATGTAGAAATAAGATAATTGGTAAATTTCCTTATGTTGAAAGAACTAGTTGTAAAAAAACTCGATCCTCGTATTTCAAATCTCAACTGAAAAACTGTAAATCAGATACAACAGTTTGTGATTTGACAGATGTTTATTTGGAAAATCGTACAAACAATGTCAAATTACAATACAATTGTTTGCATTACATCTTAGATTCATTGAAGCACACTACTAACGATATGTTACTAATTGGATATCCACTGCACACTCAAATAGCCATCGGATGTCTTTTTGCAATGACTGGTATGTTTGAGTCGTATGCAATTTTGAAACCGGATCGTAACTGCGGCCACGCATTTGCATTTTTTGGTCTCCAGAGAAACAATAGGTGGCTTGATATTTTATACAAAGTCTTGGACAATATTTTGCTCACCTCTGATGATTACACAGATTCTGACAAAGCATTAATATCACTGCTTCCAATACAACATCTTATAGAACAGAAATCTTATCATGAAATTGTTGAACTTAATAACTTGTGTCTTTTATATGAGGTCGAACCAATTCTTTTGGACTTTCTTCGACCATAGATGTTTTGTTCATACTTAAGACTTATGATTTGCTATTACAATTTTTATCTCAACACCAATAGCGACATCTGTGCCGTTTGTGACTTCATTTGTCTTTTGACATATGTCTGTATATTACCTTATAACTCTTATGCTTGCCGCAGTCACTGTACACATGGTAATTTACTATTGTGTTTCAATCTATTATCGTACATACTGTCGGATATCTTCTTTTTATTAAAAAAACATGATTTATATAATGATTTGCTTTTGTATTAAATGAATTAATAACTTTTATTACATTTTATGTGTTCTGTAATTAAATCTTTTTTAATTTTTAACTTTTCATTTTTAAATTTTTGTTTTTTTTTCATTTAATGAGCTAATTTAAAGATTTTTACGTTGCCTTATAAAAAAAATTAGTTTTGAATATATAATTTACAATTATTTCAATATCGTTTTAACATTATTTCATTAAAATTGGTCAAACATTTTTTTTTTGTTAACTTAAAAAGATTTTTTTAGTTGTATACTTTATGATAAATGTATTAATATTTGTTATTTGTACTAAACTTTATAAGTATTGTATATTTTTCTGTAATATCCTAATAGAATTTTAGTAAATATAACAATGATATTTTTTGTAATTCGTGTGTTCAATTGGATATTTTTATTTATCGTTACTTTAACAGTGCTATTTGTACTTTCTAATTATTAATTATAATTTGATGATATCAAAATAATTTTAATTTTATATTTTTTTTCGATTATTTTCGATATTTTCTTTCATTTGATATAATGCATTATATCAAATGAAAGAAGTATATAAATAGTATTTTTCATAAAAAAACTGTATTGATCCATACATTTTTCAAAAAGTTATAGAAATATAAGAAGTTATAGAAATATAATAAGTTAAAAATTTAAAATGTAGAATCGAGAATTTTAACACAAAAAGAGCATACGGTAGCCAATGTCACCGTGATGACAAAATAAAGTCGAAAATTTTTTTTTCCTTAATAAAGTATATTACATTAGTTTTAATTTAAGATATATAAAAGTATCAGCATTTCCGGAATACTTTCAAAAGTAAGTTGAAAAAGTTGTCATTTTGAAGCTTCCCTGTGGCCAGGTAAAGGGTCAGATTCATAAAAAAAATATACCAAGTGATAGGCAAAGATATCATGTATCTATAGAAAAAAGTTACATTGATTTGGTCATTTTTAAAAAGTTATGGCAGCTTTAAGTAAAAAAAATTGAAAAAATACGATTTGAAATCTTTTGACGTATCGTTGGAAGAAATCGGTCCAGTGAGAGCTGAGAAAAAGTGGCAATAGACACAAAAAAATCAGATGGTAAAATAATACCTTCTCAGCTTTGCATCGAAGCTAAAAACTGAAACATGTGTAAATTCAAGATATAATTTTTTTAAACAATATTGTTTTAGCATTGGACATTAACTAATGTAATAGAACTTAATTATAACAAATAGTTTCTTAATCAATTACGAGCTAAAAAAAGTATACATTTTTTTTTTTTAATTGTTAAAGTCATTGTCATGGGACAGCCGGGCGAATACATTGCAGTGGACGGGCAGCAATAGCGTAAACGTCGGCAGTTATTATTATATTAACAATATACGAGTAGTTCTAAATTGAAATTTAGTGCAAGTCGGACAACAAGGCGCAACAGACGGGCAATAGCATATACGTCGGTAGTTATTATACAGTCTAACTGCAGTTCCTGGAATTTTTTGGAAGTTCTCGTCAGTAGCGAACGGATCCGGGGTTTATCCACCCGTTGTACATGATTGAAATTGATCAAGTATTCCAGATTCATATATCAAGGGGATTATAAGAACTTGCAAAGCATATAGTATATATCTCGCAAGTACTTAATACCTTCAACATTTCTTATTATTAAAACTTGGGCAATTTTTTATAAGTTAGCTCCTAAATATATTAATATTTTCCCTATGAAATGCCAATAATAAGGAGTCTAAAATAATATATATCAGTCATGAGTGACAAAAGCTCCATTAGCTGTATTTGTAATCACCGGAGACTAATAATCAATAACATGCATGATCAATGGTCTCACATCTTCCAAAGACAAACAAGTACCCATACTTTAAAATTTAATAAATTATAAAAATTCATATAAAAGTTAAATATTTTTGGATCTGTAATAGCTTTTTACTATTAATGATAAGGTTGAAGATATAGTTATGCTGACTAATTGTACAAAATACTTCAGTAGACATATTTCTGTTAATTTTCCTGAAGATCCAGACTTACCATATATAAGTGAATACTTAAATGACGTTCTTGACCGTAAAATAATTAAGAAAGAAAACTAAACTAATAATAGGATTATAAATCCAGATCGATCTGGTATTATTTATTTAGTTAAAAAAGAAGTAAAACTTTTCTAAAAATCATTTATTCCTCTAAAATCGTTTCGTATCATACGTTTTGATGTAGAAAAAAATGATCGAGATGATAGTACGTGTTTACAATTCTTTAAACGTTTCTATACATTGACCTTGGTCCTTGAACAAATTATACGGTTTTGAGTACATTTTTCTAGATCTTCATTTAATTTGTTTACGATATTAAACCTATTGTCTATCAAGTTGTATTTATAGCCAATATAGTTATTCTGTATACTCAATAGAATTTACAGACAATATAGGTCTGTTCACGATTCAATGATCACCATACAAGTCGATAGTTGAACCATCAGGGAATTAATTAGATTCGTTACATTAGTGTTCAATCGTTTTTGTAAGTTATTTTATAATCATTTTTTACACCACTGATATCTAGTTACATTTTCTCAAGGCTTTATTACAAAATAATTAAGAAGTACTTTTCAAATTTGAGCTTTTAAATACATAAGACGGATATGTCATGGAAATAATACAATAATACTTGTAATTCTAGATTTTACCTAGAAAAATTTTATTTTCAGTGTTAAGTTTTAACATTTCATTTATAATTCTACCAGACAGTATGAAAATTTTAGATCTAAATTTAAAGATTATTTCCTCTAAACATTTTAAGTCTTATGAATTTGAGTTTTTGGTCAAACAAACAAAATTTATCTTTACAACATATTTTTCTAAAAAAATGTTTCTTATTCAGAAATTCTTTTTACATTATTATCGGAATAATGTTCAAATAAATATTTAAAATTAATTTTTATTTATGATTTCGCTAAAATAAAGTGCTATTAAAACAGTGCTTTAATTTCAACCAAAGTAGAATTTTTCTAAAGTATAACAGATCAGCTAAAACGAATTTTTTAATTGGTAACAAAAAACCATTTTACGTAGTGAAATAAAGTATACTTATTCAGTTTATGTTTTTGAACAATTCAAGAATCTATACATAAACTTATTAATAGATCATCTACTTTAATTAACTTATAATTGTCATTTTATTTAGAATTATTTCTCTAATTAAGATCTAAATTAAAGAATTTGTTATAATTTATTGTTCCTATGTACAGCAACGAAAAAAAATATTTTCAATGTGTTGTATTTTAGTGGGATTTGTGAGATTATCTAACAATGACCAGTTGATATATTTTGTCATCTTTAAATTTTTAAATCTTTTATTTTATTTACTGTTATTATTATTAAGATATTCTGGCCTTGAGTACATTATTTTGTATATGTATTACAATTTTTTAATTTAAATAATAGGTATTATTATTTTTTATTTGAATGTTCGTGAATTACAGTATAGGTTACGATGGTAACGACGAGGAAAATAAATAATGTACTACATAATATCCTGTACTATTATATTTTACTTAAGTAATTTAACGAGTCTAATATTGGTTTTGTTAAAGAATTTAAAAAATCCTCTACTAAATCCTCTACTTATTAGTTAATTCGTTCATTAATTTATATAATTATTAATAATATAACAAAAACTTCTACTTTTTAAATTAATCTAATTGAAAAAACTTATTTGCTCCTGTCTTCCTAATTTGTATCAATAACAACAATTTAAAACTTAAAAAATATTCTCAATTTCTAGTTACTATTTTTCATTGATTATCAAATAAGGTGGTGTGTAGCGTTTCGACAAATTTAATCATTTTTAACCTACTGAATATTTTGCTTTATTTTTTTTTTTAATTATTCGTTAAATGAGCTAGTTTGGGATAGCGAGCTATCATTATCATTTTAATCGTAACAATCTACTGCACCACTAAAATGTTTATAAGAATTGTAAATAAATAAATTAAACAATAATAATATTTATAGGCAAAGTTAGTATGGATATAATGCGTTTTTTCAGTTATTTTATTAATAAATATTTCTGTTACATGTTTGATATCGTATAATAAATATATAAAAAAATATTATTTTATAGTTTACATTTTAAACCTGTTAAAAATCTTTTTACTCCATTGACTTGTCTCCTCCCCATTTCTAAAACAAATTAATTTGCCCCCAAGTAAACTATTTTAAATTGTATACAATTCAGTATCCGATTTGAAGAGTTGGCATAATCCTATTCCAACATAATTTAAAAAATAGTGGTTACATCTTTCAACGTATGTAGGCCATGTACTTTGCATAACAATATCTTATGGTACTATTTTTTGTGAATATGTAACAAAAAATGTTTTTTTTTTTAGAATTTAATTATACATACAGAGAAAATTGTGTCTCTTTCGAGTGGTAAAAAGTTACTAGAAATTTTTAACAAGGTTTGTTAAGCATTTAAAAAATAACGATTTGCGTAAGATGCTATTGGAAATTTTATTTTTGCTCTCCAGAAAAATTGTTAAAGTTGATTTATTAGCTTTTAGAAAGTGACCATAATTTATGTATATTTTTTTGACAAAAACATTTTTGTCTGTGGCAAATTCCAGTGATAAATATAGTTCCAGTTAATACTTGCATTCTCACACAATAGTGAGTTTCGATGTAGTCCGAACATTTACAATACATAATTCTACGTCATTTTCTTCTATAGAAGTAGTACGTAAAAACCAAGGGCAATGAATTTATATTGTTTAAGTTATTAAGTCACCCCAATAACGCGTCGATCCGTAACGGTTAATTGTCTTAAATCATGTATATGTTGATGAATAGATGAAACGAAAAAAGCTAATCCGACTCACAAAATTACCTTAGTTATACCATTGAAAATCGATAGTGATACCTTGTGAACCTATATAAGGAATGACCGATGACAGTTACTGATTCAGAGAGATACCATCAGCAGACGCTTCAACAACAGTTCGACCCTTCAAAATGATTCGTTTGTTCGTTGTCACTATTGTAAGTAAATCTTAAAACAGTTATAAAAAAAAAAACAAGTTCTGATTATTTACTTTTGGCTACATTATATATTAATAATTTACACGCATTTTATGATAAATCATGTAATATTTTTATATTNTATATTACACGTATTTTATGATAAATCATGTAATATTTTTATATTAAAAGTATATAGATCAAATCATTTTAATTAGATAAAAAAGTTGCATAGATTATTTTTTAAATGTGGAACATTTAATTTAGATTTATTTTTAAAAAAATGTTAACAATAAAACCATAAAAAACATAGATTATTAAAAAAAAAAATCAATCAAATAATAATGGCATTTTATATAACTAGAAGTTTAAACTAAAATAATTTTTGGAGTTGAACGAAACTGAATTTAGAATAATTAGGTAAACTTAAAATCAGATTGAATTAATTCAAACGCTATTCTCACTTAAAAAGTTTTCAATGTGAAAATTGAATCATTTTGTTTATAAAATAGTGACATAAAACCTAAATAATTGGAAAAACGTATTTTTTGATTTTAAGTAGAAAAATATTTTTTACTATTAACATCTCAAATTAATTAGATAACGCTAAATAATTGCATTAGAGTTTGGTTTGAAAATTGTTTTCTATTATGTTGCATTTCGAATGATTTGTAGTATTACTAAATACATTTTATGAAATCTCAGTCGTTGTTGACTAATAATAAGTTTTTGAAAAAAATGTTTATTAAAACTTTGTATATATACTTTTTTTTTAACTTAAGGCTTATTATAATGGACATAATCTGATATAATTGTTTTTAAGCACAATTAGGTTTTTCTCCGTGGATAAGTTATCCGCGTATGTTATACAAATTTATTTTCATTTTTAGTGTTCATAGTTTAAAAAAAATGCATTATCAGATATTATGAAAACAATTTAAATAAAATATCATAACAAATTTGACTATACAAAATAAAATAACGATATTAAACTTTTAGTACCTAATTTATAAACTACAATAGAAATTAGCTACCTCAACTTAAATTTTTTTTGGAATGCTTTCAGCTTTAATTAGTTAATCTTTATGTCATCGTGACTGTAATAAACTCACAAAAAGCAATTGATAGTGTTGTGACTAGTTAGTCTGCCGAGAGCCTTTCTCAACCCGATGGGAATTTAACCATGGGGTAGTTCAATGAACTAAATCCGAATCTAATTATGTTTATTGCTTGTCCGATCAGCTCTTTTGTATGCTTCAACAATTTTCATTATCCAAATAATATGTCGTTAATGAAAGAATAATATTAGGTCCCTAGCCATTGTTGTTTTCCTGTAACCTTCAACAATACGTAGATCTTATGTTAATAGACATCATAAATCGGAACGCCATGCAAATATTTCTTGTATATTTAAATATCAGTTAGATATTGGAGCGGCTAATAAATCTTGATTAACCCAATTTTATACTAATACCTTAATTTTTATGTTATCACAGTTTTTCGGTAATATTCTATTTATTTACGCTCAATATGGCATGCGATCACATCCAATTTACATGGGCAATCCAGGACCATCATCTGAACCTATTCCCGGACCATACTTGCCAGTTTTACCAATAGTGCCAAGATTAAGCCCTTACGCAGTTTTTAGAATGCCGCCTATTATAAGTGCTAAACCCATACCCGTCGTATCTAACTCCTTGGCACCGGTTAAAAATCAACGTTTGGCAGATACATTAGAAATGTCACATTTCCAGACACAAGATTCCGATGGTAGATTTATATTCGGATTTAATACAGCTGACCAGTCAAGAGTAGAATCTAGAAGTGCCGACGGAACGGTGAGAGGGTCATATAGTTACACTGACCCCATGGGAAAACAAGTACAGGTGCGTGTACCATGTGTAGTACAACAATGTTAATGTTCAAACGATAAAAAAATTATTGACGGTACTTATAGGCGCAATACTGGGATACAGGAGCCGGGTTTCATATCACAGGTAACAATATAATGTCTTCTGACTCTGGATACATTCAAGACACACCTGAAGTAGAAGCGGCTAGGAATGAGCACTTTCAAATCTACCAGCAAACATTAGCGTCTTTGTTCGACAATAAGTAAGATAAATTTAGCTGAATAATTTTAGTAAAACATTTAACGGTAAACTAGTTTCATCAATTTTTAAAGTAGAGATAATGGTCACATAGTGGATGATAATCAACCTAAAGACGACCAACGTAGTGATGTATCTTTACAAGGTAACGAAAACGAACAAGTCATCGCCTCCTCTGATGGATCTACATCCAATAGTTCTGTATTAGGAAATACAACTTCGCTGCCGCTTCCGAGCTCTGCATCTATTACAATTATTTCTACCACTGCAAAACCTGCAAATATACTAAGCCATGATTCAGATTGGAAGGAACAAGAGTATGATGATGATTCGGTTATTGTAGATAATCCTAATTTAATGAGAATAGCATGGAGTACAGACGGTAGTTATAAATATGCAAAAAAAGCTGACTCTAGGGATAAAAAGTCCATGAAGATGTTTGGTGATCGTTTAGTCCCACTTAAGTCAAATGTTAAAAGAGTTTAAATTTATGCGTAATTGAATTAACTTTGAGAGCTGTAGTGAATTTTTCAAATGAGAGAGATTTTTAAAAAACATACATGCTCTTAAAAATCAATTTTCTATTTTGATTTCTTAAATTATTTGTAACATTATTTTTGTAATTCACAAAATTAAGATATCTTACTACACTTATTTATCAAAAATGAAATTTGATTTTTAATTAAAAAAATTTTTTTATTCCATTTTAAGTTTTTAAAATGCTTTAAAATTTTTTTTTTTAAATTAATTTAAAACCATTGTTTTCAAATTAATTATAGTTAAGTAATTTTTAGAAACTTATGATTTCCTTTTAAAATTATAGTCACTTTCGTTAAATTTAGCTGTAATTTTTTAGATTGAGTTTAATGAAAATTTTATTATATCTACTATTTGTACTCATATATTTATTTAATGATTATGGTATATTACAATTATTTTTGTGAGATATGATAATAAATAGCTCTATGATAATCATATAAGCATAATATATTAATCTTAAATCAAAATAAATTGATACATATGTAATAAGATAATTGTATTTAAGACAATATAATAATTATTTAAAATATAACGAAAAATAATAAATTAATTATAATGTTAAAATGTAGTATTTGTATAAAAAGTACTGTTATAATAAACCATCATAATTAAATATAGACAAATTTATAAAGAAGTTTGAATTTTTAATTAAAACTAGAATGTATTTATTTATTTAATGAAAAAATTTTCAATTATACAATTATTAGTAATTTACATAATTCGATTGTTATCTATGATAATCTATTGAAAAAACACTACTTCATGTTAATTATCATTTGTATTTGTAGGCAATGACGTATACTAGGGAATTAAACAGCTGTAGCTCTTTTCATTTCCTCTGATATAAAAAGTAATTCGTTTATCATAAACCACTCAATTACTCGTAAAATAAAAATAATATTGAAAATAATGTTTTTTATGTTACATATATTTCTTAATTTATCAGCTATTAATTACTATTTATTTTAGTACTTTTCTTATTCTATCACTATCATTATTTCTTCTCTAAGTTATGAGGGCTTATAACTTTTGTGTCTTACTATAATGTCCTTTGTTATAAGGGAGGAACAACATTACTCTTTTAAACTATAACATAAATATGTAATTAGCTAATAAAATAGAAAATGATCTAATTAATAATATGATGGGTCGATAAAAAAATATGAACCAGTACTTTAGAAGTTATAATGATTTTAATTATGTACTGAAGGTATGATTATTTATATCATTAGACTATTATTAACCGCATTATTCCTCCTATCCATATGTAAAAATTTTAATAATTTTCGAAATATTAGTTCAAAATCTTTTATCAGCCTGTCAATTTCTGAGTAGAATCATTTCCTATTTTATAAGCTACTTAAATATATATGTTACCGTTAAAAAAAAAGTTGACATCCCTACAAATTATAAGAATGTTGCTAAAATGTAATTAATATCTGATAAATCAAGAAATACATGAAACAAAATTTTTAAAGTATTCATTTTACGAAAAATTAAGTGGTTTTAGATAAATGGATCACTCTATACATAGTACTTTTTACTAACAGTGTACGACTTTAGGGCTTGTAAGACTAGGTAATGAAATTGATCATGATGAATAAAAATATAGGAAATAATTAATGATAATAGTTTATAATTGTAAAAATCAACATTATAATTTTTTAGCGAGGAAAAAATGTAATAATGGTAAATTAGTAAAATAATAAAAAGAATGAACATTCAAATTTTAGATTGAGTAATAATATTATTAAGACAATATTCAAAAAGAAAAATAATTAACATAAATGTTTTTATATTTTAAAAAGGAATATAAAATATATAAATATTTTTATTTAAAAATATATTAACTAAATTATCAACGTATTTAAAGATAAACTTTTCTACTTTTATTCACTTTCAAACTTACTAATGTATTTAAAAAATTGTTCTCGATTTCTTATTTACAACACGTTAACATAAAGAATTGTTAATGGTTTTAATTAGCTTAATTAAATATTTGAAATAATTTACAAAAATAATTTAATTTATACAACAATTTACATTTTAATTCTAATATGGTTTTGTTTAAAATTATATTATGTTAAAAACTCTATGTCATGTAAATCTTCTTGTACAGCAATCGTTCTGTATAATTTTGCCATAACTCTCAAAATGTCCTTTGGTTTAGATTCTCCACTATCATTGCTTCCCGTTATATAGCCAACCATTCCAGAGAGTAGTCCGCTAAAAGCAGTTACCATATCTGGTACATTAAGAGTAATTGGAAATACAGGAACAGCTTCAATAAAGTCTCCTAAAGCCGAAAAAAATATTCTTGCCATCACTGGAGCATCTGTCCTGTAAACCAAATACACATAACTTAATTAATAAATACTCGTTTTGTAATTTGTACAGTGTACGAGATTAATTATTTTTGATTATTATTTTTTAATAATACTTGTCTAAAAATGTTTTAATCGGAGAAAAACAATAACTACTCAGAGTATAAAGTCATCCTAATTTTATTATTCAGATTATTTACTTTTTACTATTTATTGTATCATTAAAAGTGATACTTGGTATTATTTAATTACTTACGTTGTTTCAGGTATTACTGTGGTTGTGGGAGTTTTCATTGTTTTTGCTTTGTAAGGATATGTACCAGCTTCTATATTGCGAGCATATAGACAACAAATTAACAAGACTGTAAACTTAAATAAAAATATTTAATATTACTATGACAATATTTTTAAATAAAATTTTTAAATTACTAATTATTTAGCTGTTAAATTCGATAAAACTATAAAATTTAAATTAAAACAAACTTTTAACAATATTTATAAATCACGTATATTTTAACAGAAGTATGCTAATTAAATAAATATATATATATATATAAAATTTAATATTTTTTTTTTATAGAACAACAGAAATTAAATAAGCTAACTGTATTTTTATGATATTTTACCATATTATTCTTGATATTCAGGTCTAAGAATTTGTTAAAAAACTAGTTTCTTTTATTACTATTATTATCTTTTTTGGCGTGACGATAAGACTTTTGAATTATCTTTTAAACCGTCTTAATTAGTAGTACAACTAATTATTTATTTAAATGTATTTTAAACGGGAAACAATCAACATTTTTTCATCTAAAGTCGAGACTAGATTAAATTATATCTCTGATGCTTTTTTGACAATGGTTGAAAATGCTACTAAACAAGTTTTATTAAATTATTTTAATTTATTGGAGTATATAACCTATTTTTTTAATTTTAATTACATCTCAACTCATATTTTTTTTCTATTACCAAAAAAAAATACATATTGAGTATACTTTAAAGTACTTGAAGTACTTAAATGTCACAAATTTTGTTTGGAAATTTTCAAAATTAAATTTATGTAAAAGAACTTATGATATTGTATATCTTGTTCAAGAATAATTTTTATTTAACACTTGATATATTCATAAGTAAGCCTGTAACTATCTCAGTATGTATTTTTCTGGAAATGGTAACATTGCTTCCGAATTACATACACGCGAATTTTAGTATTTTTGTGGCTTTTTGAGTTAAATATTTTTAGTTTTGAATTAATATTTTACATATATTTTTAATTTTAAAAAGTAACTAGGCTCCTTTAATTCTTAAACCTTTGTCTAGTTTTATCGTAATTCTTAATTAGCTTGATCATCAACATATGCAGTAGTGCCAAACGTCGTAAGAAAGTAATTCACGCCCTCTGAACGCTTAAAAACGTTTTTATTTATTTTATGTATAAGTACTGTAGCGTCACGCCTACTTGAGTACAAGTGTGTGATGTTGAGAACGCTTAAAAAGTTTCCAATTTAAATACGTATACCTAAATAACAATCAGACGAGTCCAATTTTTCAAGATTTCAATGATATTTTTATTAATATATAAATATATGCACAATTAATATTCATGAAGATAAAAATGAAAAAAATTAAATTTTTTAAAATACTAATCTTGAAAAAACATGATTTGAATAAATAGCGAAAGTTTTTTGTGTATTGTTAGTAGAAAGTAATTTGAGATATTAAAGTATTTATGAAAAATTGTAAAATAAATAATGATATATGTATTTTAAATAAATTCGATGTTAATATTAGTGCAAAAAATAAACGTTTACAACTGATCAAATAATTTTGTTTTTAAAACTTATTCACCCATCACTTGTATGGTCCTTGCGATATATTTCATTTTAAAACTATTTTAACTTTTATATTTAATTTTTCCTTTTTATTTGTATTAATTAATATGATATAAAAATACTTTTTATGGATTTTAACGGTGTTTTGTGCGTGGATATATAAAATAGTACAAAATGATAATTTATAGACAATTCTTCAATAATATTATGACAAGTTATTATGTCAAAAACAAATTACCGAGTTATTTTTAAAAATTATGTATCTTATAATTTTTCAATTTGAAAATTTCACAGTTTTTATTTTTTGAAGTGTAAAATAGTAAAAAGTTCGTTTTTTGATTGAATAATAAAAGTTGCATTTAAATTACTTGCAACCTTTCAAAGTAATAGCCATTAAATGTATTGCTTTAGGTAGAAAGTTTAGTGAGAAATTTTTTACCTGAAAGTAACTAATTAACGTGAAAATGGAAAACTGCGACATAGATTTCCTATTTTTTTTGCCATAAAAATTTATTTCAAATGCGCTTAAGAATATTTATTAGGAATAATAATGAAACACTTGTTAATTAGTTAGAATTTTACTAATGGAATGTTATTTCATATTTGAGTATTCTAATTATGCAAACTGTTTGAAGTTGAGTACAAACATAAGGAATTCAGTTTGTATAATTTTAAAGATAATCAAAATTACCCAAATTAACTTCAATCAATGATTATTAATTGAATTGACGCATTTTTAAACTGAATTTCAGACTTAAAATTTTAGTTATTTTGATTGACGCATTTAAAATTATCCAAATTATTAAAGTGCCTAATATATACTTAAATATAAGTTTGAATTCTGTTTACTGTTAGGTTGGGTTTCGAATAATATTTTTTGATTCTATTCAATGATAAAGTTAATGCTCTAATTAAAATATAACATGTTTCTATATTATTAATATTTAAAAATATGGCGTGAAATAATTCAATTTTTTATATAATATGCATCTATACCACTAAACCGGATCATAATAAAATATTTTGAATTAATTTTAATGAAATATCTCTGACAATGCAACGATAGGATAATATAAGCCTAAGGCCGTAAAAATCAGAGCTTATAAATTCAAAACTGGTTAGTCGCGAGTTTATTGACTTTTGACTTTATTTTTCAATAATTTATATTATATAAATGTATAGATGGCGTAATTTTTTGATAAAAAAATGATCAGTAACTATAAATCAGTTAGGCTTTCGTAGAACTTTGTTTAAAATAAGTAAATTTTTTCTTTTATATTACATAGGATTGGTCAAATATAGATTTTGATTATTATAAAACTGTGATTTTAGGATTATTACCATTATTTAACCTAGTACCGGTTTAATGCATCCATTTAAAGTTACATTAGCGACCTTGAACTATGACCTCTATACCGTAACTTCCTCTTGGAGAAAGTTCAAATTTATGTCATTGATTTCTAAATAAAATGATGATTCATTGATTTAATTTATGTGAGTTTTAATGCGCCCACACGACATAGTAAACTAAAATCATGTCTTTTACAAACTAAATCTAAAGAAAACCGAGCGACACGTACAATTATAATTGTTTTACTACGTAATATGAAAGATTATTTTCGGTAAAACAATATATAAACTAATTGTAGTTTCTTATTCTATTTTGGAAATTCATAAAAAAAAACGCGGTCTTAATTTAATAATTTCTTAACTAAACTTAAGCAAATGAAGTTTTTATTCTTTAAATAAAACTTATAAAGCGAAATAATTGTCATGAAACAATTTTTTTTTAATTTCACCGAGTAAATATTTCGGTAATGAAAACGCTTATTAAAATCATAATCCTAAACGTTGACGTTTAATAAAAATATTTCTTAAGTTAGTATAATTTTTTCTTTAAAATGCATAAAATATTTATAACGCGTTGTATATAATTTTAATTAGTTTTTTATTCTCAATGATACTTTCATACATAATTAAATAAAATGTTGAATTGTTTCAATTTATGTTAAATTGAACTTATCGAACAAAAAAATGAAATGAGATAATTTAAAACAAAATACTTATTTTGTATAAATAAAATAAAATGTTGAAATTCTTAAAAAATACTCACAATAAAATATGGTTTATTCAATATTCTGTAGATACACATTTTTAATTTATTATTTGTAAAAAATAGAAAAAATTCAATTAAAAATTATTATTAAAATTTTTCTTTTGCTTTGTAGCTTGTGATAGAGTCATGATAGCACGAGAGTTACGTTAAGACTAAAATTACTTTCTTTTTAAGCGGTCACTAGGTGACTATCATAGAATCAGGTTCTTGGGGGTAAGCATCCGAGTAAAACGATAAACACGGTTACCTACTGTAATAAGAACACTATTATTTATATCAAGAAAAGGAGAATTTTGTAATGCCATTGCTCGCATTATAGTCATACTAACCAGTGTAAAATTATTACAATCTTTATATGGCACGTGATAAAAAGACTTGTCGTTAGGAGTTTCATTTAACAAATCAAGTGATATCGTCTTGTTTTTCACTTTTAATAGAGAAAATTTACCGTACAATGATGAGTACATTAAAGTAATAAATAAATTAATAATTAATCAACATAACTAATACACGTACGAATTAATAAAGGAGTTCTACATTTACTCTTAATATTCAAAATATAAATTAATAAAATAGTTTTTTTTTTCAATAATCTAATAATCATCAGAATGAAGAGCTGCAAACAGTCTTGGGAATAGCATTTGTTTTAGTCGGAGAATTGGTGGAAGCTGTTTTGGTTTGTGTGGATATCCCGTACAAGGGGGTGAGGTGCTTGCTACATAGTAAGCCGGGGAAGGTGGATAAGGCGGTAAGTACGTTGACGCTGGAGTAGATATGGGCTTCTTATAATGATATTCTGAAGGGCTAATGGGTTGTGCGACTAAATTTATTGGTGGTACTTCATTTGGGCCATAACCGCTAGGCTTAGAACCAGTGTTTTTATTATCTGGACATGGTGATTTTTTTGTTATAGTTTCTGGGATTTTTTCTTTTTGTGTTGTTTCTTGTCTTTTAGGATTGGGTGTCGTAGTATTTTCTTGACAATTGTGTTTAGGCGTTGTAACTTCATCCGGAATAACTGGTGTCGGAGTAGATGCATGAGGACATAACAGTTCATCACAGGGAGGACTAGATTTCGGAGTTGATTGCTCGTTTACCGCAGGTTTGATTGAATCGGGAAAACCATTACTAGACTGGTTACTAGACACCGGTTTTGCGTTTTCTTCGTTGGTTACATTTTCGTTTTCAAACGGAACTGGAATGATAATTATCGTGCTTGTACCATTGCATGGTAATATAACATGTGTGTTATTCGTGTCATTAACAAAGGTATTGTTGTCGTTGTCGGGATTGTTTATACCTGGCCTCAGATCATTTAGATATTCTGGAGGGTTATATACTGAGAAATAGTTTTGAATGCGTTGAATGAAGCGTTCGATAGGCGTAGGAAATTTGCCCTTGAACTTAATAGGAGAGTTGGGATCAAGGTGGATCAATGTCGGTGGTGCATTTTGCTTGCCTATTTTCTCTGTGTCCGGCGGTAATGCTAAGTATATGTCAGAAGCTCTTGACCTCTTTATTCTAAAAAAATATAATTTTATTAGTCACACAAACAAAAGATAATTTGCGTTGCACTTCAAAACTGGTTATATCTAAACATCCTTTTTACTGAATTCACTTTCCCTAAAGTACACACAATATGTTCAAGAGTATATTGAGCGAATTACACTTGAGATCACCGGAACTAATGTACGGTATCTTCCTCTTGGAGTATTTAGTAATAGTGATGTACATAAAAAAAGTAATAGTAATGATGTTCACCTTGATTTGATAGAATGGTTATTATTGAGTACGTTGACGTTGCTTGCACTACTGGAACGTTCAAAGCATATTACAAAAATCACGATCAGCTAACACAACAAAATCATGCAATTAGTTATCTACACCAATTGTTCAATTTAAGTATAAATGAAAGACAGGAAGTTATATTAATTCGTTTAGTTATATCGTGCTTCGATAAAAAGAACCAATAAACATTTTTTCGTGATAATAAATAAAATCAAGATTAAATAACTTTTATAAGTCAACTAAAGCCGATGAAAAATGAGATTATTTAAATACTATTTTTATCATAATTTTAAAGTTGCATGTGCATAATGCTACATAATTGTTACCCAACCCAACGCAGAATCATAATTATTCAATCAAATATACCCGTTATAAAAGCACAATTACATATAATTTTGTTTGAAATGGTCTATGAACAGTTATTACAATCTTCCCCGCATAAAAAAAAATTGGACGAGTCATTTAGTCAATTGAGATGCGAATTTTATTACTCGGTTTAAATTTTATGTACAATATTTAATGCTAATGTTATAACTCGCAATGAATAAATAATTGAAATAATAATAAATTAATTACATTTTTTTCGGGTAAAAAAATGAATTAAGTATAAAATTTTCATTTAAATACGAGTATTAAAATTAATTAAAAATATGGTTTCATTTTTTCAAAATAAGATGAAATATCGTACAGTGTTAGTTTTATTTGTATCGATTTATACATAGTTACATTATTACTTGATTTATATCCAAAATAATTTTAATCATAACTGTATTATTTTTGCTTTAATTACTGTTTAATCTCGAAAAGAGCCTAATGCTATTTAGTAACCATTTTAAAATTTTACAAGTAACACATAAAAAATTAAAAAACAATAAAAGTTCAGTGTAGTTTACGATAATTGAAAAACACATGATCATATTATAAATATTTCTCAGTTATATATAATTTCAATAATTTTTAATTGTTGTATGCATTTATTTTCATTATATGCTAAACTAATGAGATTAAAAATGATAAAAAGTCTGAGTATACTATCTATTTTCATTCTTACAAATTTTAATTAATTACTTTAAAGATTGAAATATTTTGACATAGGTAAATTGTATGCCATATGAATTTGATTATAATATATAAACTTATAAACATAAAAAATGAAGTAAATTTTTGTGAAATCATTTAAATCACTCAATTACTCACCCATATTTTTTTTAACTCCATATTTTGTTGTCAAAACACAGCAGTATCTTGTGCGATAATATAGCGAAGACTGGTGTGCGTGTACTTTTTTTCAAACTACAGATGCCCTTCCATCTTCTATCTGACAAAGTTCATCGATCTTTAATAGAAAAAAATTATCCATCAGTGTAGTTGGATTTATTTAATAATGTGGTCGGGTATGTTAAGATAGTCTGAACTGCATTTCTTTATTTTTAAAATTAACGACTGTATGATAATTATGTTTTTAGTTTTATTAGAATCAACAGTCATCATCATGTATGGGACTTCTTTACCGTTAAAATTAATATTAATTTGAATAATGTTTATATCATTGTATAGCTTTAATAAATTAGTATTACCAGATTCTATCAGATAATACTGAATAGTGAAGGATTTTAACGAATTCGTAATTAATATAATTTAATATCTTTTAATATAATCATCTTATAACTTGTCATGTATGTAGTGTGAGTATATTATCTAAAAGAGCTAGAATTTTTGGTACAATTAAAAATTTAACTTATTAATCAAATAACTTCTTATTGAATTATATTTTTATAATCAGATTTTATACAAATGTATAAAAGTTCAAACAAAAATCTTATATTAATGTCTTCAATATTTTTATATTTTTGATGTAAAATAGATACCTCATAAAAAAGCTATTTTGAATTTAATTATGTGTTTTTCACGTAGACATAATATTATAAAGATATCAATTTAAGTATAAAAGAAATTATTTCAGGGTTAATAAAAAACATGTTTATTGAAATCCATAGAATTTTTTGTATTTGTATGACTTATGTATTTTTCTATGCCTTACTAATAGATACTTCTTTTGTTATTTAAAGATCAAAAAAAACAATCCTCCTAAAAAATGCTTTAGTGTAGATGCAAATGAAAAATTTCCAGTAAAAAAAATCTATGTATTTATCTAAATTAGGCTAAATTTGGCTTTTAAGTACAAATTTTGTTACTTAAAAATACAACTCTAATGCTTATGTAAACTAAAATATATACAATTGGATAACTTGTAAACTTTTATTTGAAGAAGTCTATATCAAACTGCGTTTTGTCAAATATTATGAGGGAAGTCCTTGTTTAAAAAATCAGTAACGTCAATGGATTTTAAAAGTAATTTTTTTTGACATTCTCCTTCAAATTCTACATCTTTTTCTTTATTTATGTAGTCTACGATTTAGTTGGCCATTCGTCTTTTTATATTTAAATGAATACGATCGGCAAAAATAGATAATACTGAAGCTTCCTCTCCAAGGTACTATAAATGGTATACAAACTTTTTGATAGCTTAACCAGCTACTTGTACATCATCAGATCTGTATTCATCAAGTGCTTTTAAAAATAAAATATCATTAAATAGAGCTTCAATAGAATTAGGTGCTATAAGCCAAAATTTTACAAAGCATTTTACTTGAATACTAAATTATTATACTATTTTTAGAGGGTAAGTGAGAGTTTAAACAATTATTTTATTTTTACTATTAGTTTTCGGTAATTGGCGACTGATTTTAGTCGCCTATGTAGTAGTAGAGATTAGCTGACATGTAAAGGAAACAAAAACTATAAAATGAAGATTAACGTTTTGACTACAAATGTCTTCACCGAGTGTAGACCAAAGCATTAATTTTATATTCAAATGGCTTTAATAAAAATATTGTGTTAATAAATTATTTTATTATTCGTATGTGTTTCAATTATCGAAACAAATATAATTGTTCATAATTACTTTAAGACGTATAAATTATTTTTAATTCTATTATAATTTTAGTATTTTTCTGTGGCGAGAGTTAATATAGGAATGCCGTTTCCATAGTGGAACCCTAAAACTAGCGTGCAAGCTGTCTTGTCTTCGAGTTAAACCTGACAGATACACAGGCGATCTTTCTAGGTGGCATTTTAACACCAATAGCTTATCTATAATATCTTTAAAACAATCGAATTTCCCAAATTCAAAAATATTCTTCATGCATTTTAAAAATTACTAGTTACAGTTATGCTACATTTGTAATAGAATTTTTTCAAATATTAAATTGAAAAAATTCAACTAAACTATGAAATTTTTTGAAACTTGTTTTCTTAAGCTTTTTAAACTTTGTTGACAATGATTATTAATAATTTTATTAACTAAATTTTGATCAACTATTATTAATAATTTAAGAAAAATAAAGAAAAAATCATTTTTTTATAAATAAATAAATTATATTTTCTTATATAATTGTAGTCAATAGTTCAGTCATTATTATAATCTTAATTATAATTAAATTGTACTACATTAATACATAAAATTTCTGATGTGATAAAAAAACACCATTTAGTAAATTATGGTCAACTTAATACAAAATTATGAAGATTAAAAATCATGAAAAATAAGATAATTAATCTACTTGATAGAATTATATTATTGAAACAAATATGTTATGGATGTGTCAATGTCGATACATATAATATTTATACACATTTAATTTGTTTGGAAAGATTTAGCCTTATTTTTTTTACATTTCGAAACTTAATTCATAACAAGGGTTTAACCCTATTTTAATTTTATTTAATTTCAACAATTTTATAAACTCCACTTTCTGGTGTATATTTGGCTATATATGCTGATGTCATTTTATGTACAGGAATGATGTTAAAAGATGGTGTCTCGTCTATAGAAATAGCTGTAGCTTTAGGATCTGCAACAGCTGTGGCATTTTTTCCAACAATTGCTGTACCTACAGGTCCAGCTCCAGCTTGACCTCCGATTCCGGCAAAGGCAACGCCTATCGGTTCAGCTACTGCTCTCGTTGGATCTATTTGGCAATATATGATGATACATATTTAGTGTCATGACAATTGTTTTGCATAGCTATTAAATAGTATTTATGATAACAATTGAATAGACAATAGTGTTGAAATTATATATGCGTTTAAAAATGTAATGAAAACAATAATGATTTATGTAGTCATAAAACCCATACATATTAAAAAAAGATTACACTATTTTAACAGTAAAAGATGTTACTTAAATAGTAATTTTTATTACTAACGCATAATAAAAGGTTTTTAATATTTAATAAATATAATTCTTTAATATTTATTATTAATCTACGTATTACATTTAAGCACCTATTTTTTTTTTAATATTTTAATTAAGAAAGGAAAAACTGAGGTTTAAAGAATCTAGGCAAAAAATATTTTATCCCATAAAATTAGAAAAAAGTTTAGTCAAGAAATATATTTATTTCGATGGTTATTAAGTACAAAGTTTATAAATATTTTGGGATATCTCATCGATATGTATTCTGGAATGATGATCTATTTCATATTTACTTCACATAAATGTACAAATTAAATATAATTAAAACATTACAATTTAAATTTCATTAATTGACATTCACTTTAAGTAATAATTTTTACTTAAATTTTTGGTGGCATTAAAAAAAAAAAAACAAAGTCAGTCACGTTAATGCTCCAAATTAGTTCGAACCTGATGTTATTTTAGTTTGTGCTTGTTGATCATCATTTTCGGGTTGATTAGTAACTGAGTTAACTGTGACTGAAGAAGCATCTTGTTGAACTTGTGATACTCCTTGTTGTGATTGTTGAGAATTCTGCTTATGGTGTTGCAAATATTTTTGGTAAGCTAATGCAGCAGAACCAGGTGCTTCATATTGAGGAGCTTGATGGAAACGTTGGCCAATTACCTTAAATATAAATTTATGTATTTAATAATGAAAAATTCATTTGATAATATTTTACTTCCTTATTACCTGTTGAGGATAGCCCAATATATAGTTGGAAATGGAACCATGGTATGCAGGTTGTTGGTATTGACCATAAAATTGAGGTTGACCAAAGTAAGAAAACTGAGGAGCTGCAAATGGCCTATAAGGATATTGTATAGGCACTTGGTTCACGGTATTTGGAGTTTCACTTTTAAGCCCTTCAGTTGGTTTTTCACCTTTGATGGAATTTTCAGCATTTACTATGTAAAAAAAGAAAGTAATTTATTGTATTTAATTCATATTTTTATAAATAACCATACCGGCAGCTCCTTCAGATGCTGTGGTTTGTTGAGATGATTCAGCAGATGTTGTTTCAGATGATCCACCGTAAATACTTGACCAGCTTGGAAAATAATTGTTATAATAATAAGTCAAGTAGTCAATATACGAAGATTCAGCTCCTGCATTTTCAGCAACTTGTGTTCCATCATTAAAAGGGTATTGCTGAGGGAAAGCCGGGTAAGCTCCATATAAATAAGGGTTGTAGGCAGGATTAGCTCTAGATGTCAATGTGTGAATATCAATGTATTAGTAAAGGGTTTACATGAAAAATAATTACCAAGATTAATACATTTATTATTATACACGAAATATAAACGTTAAAAGATGTTTTAAAGAATTTAAATATTTTAATTCTTTTAAGCTCTCAATATACTGTTGTACCTATAATTTTTTAAAATTTGGAAACCGTACTTTTGAAGTGAAAACAGTAAAATATGCTAAATGATGTAAGCAACAAAACTGAATAAAATTGTTTGATTGTCTATAAATGCTTTTAGAGTGGAAAATAGATTTCTCTGAAAATCATTTTTAGCTTTTGCTATGTTTAGTCATCAATAAAAAAATTTGATTTTTAGTTATTTTTCACTTAAATAAATGTGCAGTTAGAGAGGATTTATGGGGATTACTTTCTAGTTGAAGGATAAGCTACTCAAAAAGTTATAAATTTATATTTTTACTATATAAGTATATATTTAGGATGGGGATAAAGTGAATCGAGCCTTCCTTAAATTTTTATTCTAGTCGCGCATATGCGATTGAAAAAAAAATTTCACTTAATGAAATAGTTCTTAAATTTTTAATATTTCAAAACGTTTTTTTCTTTAACATGAGCAAATTAAAGGAAAACAAGCACAATTTAATGTTAAAATCGGTACGTACTCTCCAATCCTACAATTAAATTAATAATTATATGTGGTGTTTAATTTGAAAATTTGTTTTCTCTGTTTGAATTCGATATTCAAAATATTAATAAACAACTATCCCCTTTTTATCAAGAAAATTAACTCACGGTAGAAAATCTTGTCTGAAGTATGATCCAGGGAAGTAAGGAGATACTACATATGGCAAACCGTTGTATTTTGGTTGTACAGTAAAAGCTTGAGAATGGTATGGTTGAGCATTGTAGGGAACTGCAGTTGGAACAGGTACATTTCTGCATTCAACACAAGCAACAGCGAAGAGAGTTGATACAAGTAACTGAAAAGAAATTATATTTGTCAAAACTACATTTTTATAATTCCAATTATTAATTGAAAAATTGTTAATAATACTGTAAATTAAAATAAAGAACTTGACATATCTAGTGCTCGTACACTACATGCATCCCATTTATTAATTGACAAGAACTACATAAACTTGATCAACACTAAACGGTTATATGGAAAATACTACAGTAGGAACATCTATTTAAATAATTATTTCAACCGAAAAATTTAGTTTACTGTGACAAAGTAATTATATAGATGGGAGACTTTAACAAATAACTATAAATACATATAGCTGAATAAACTCTAAAATATAGTCAATTACATTTAATTAGTATTTTTTACTAGATTAGTAAAGTTGTATTAAAAAATATTTACTATAAATAAATTCTGTTTTTGTGAATTTACTCAAGAAAGGTCAAAATTTAAACATTACTATTTAGATAATTTATTATAAAAATCTCAGATAGCATAAAAAATTAATGTTCTAAAGATCATTTAATGCATAAATTCAAACAGTGTAATTTTATTCTATATATACACATACTAATAAATCTTAAAATAACTGTTTATTTTATTTAATATTGAATTAACACAATAGGTAATGACTTGGTTAAAAACAATTTTTAAATAATAAAGGTTACTAGTATACTATTTGATTTTTTCAACATAATAATTATAGAGCCTGAAAAGCATAATTATCATGCTTTTAGGCAACAAAAATGATTACTCATATATCCTAGTTAGCTCTATTATATGTTTAGTTATTGTCAAATAGATATCAAGCGAATAGGTTCTGAATTTAAAACACAGCCTGTTAAAATACTCATATTAGTTTATTGAAGTCATTTGAATTAGTTTTCTTTAGATATTTATTCATTTATAAGCCTTTATGATTTATAAATAAAAATTTAAGAAACTATGTAGCGTAGATCATTATTTTTGCATAATTGGTGTGTCTTATTTTTTTTTTTGGTTTAAAAATATAACTGAAAAATTGTTATACTTTATTACTTTAAAAGGAAGAAACTGGAACTTCAGGTCTTCATATAAAAAATATATTTTAAATTCCAAAATTAAGAATCTACAAGACATTGAACTTACATATATTTTTTTTAAACCTTGTTTGATCAAATTTGTTTGTAGGTTTCAAATATTTGGACAAATTATTGTGTTTAGATATAATCTCAGTTGATTAACACCACTAATTAAGATTTCCTAGTGATAAAGTTTTTCATAAGTACTTAGGTATAAAAATTTTTTTATGAATGCTCCATAACCTCGAAAAAATATATGATTTATTATTTAGGCAATTAAACTATAATAATTATAATTATCTTAAACATTAAATAAACAAAAATTTTATATTAATGTCTTTAATATTTTTAATGTAAAATAAATACCTCATAAAAAAAAGCTATATTGAATTTTATTATGGGTTTTTTACATAGACATAATGTTATTAAGACATATCAATTTAAGTATAAAAGAAATTATACTCAGGGTTGATAAAAAACATGTTTAGTGAAAGACATAGAATTAATTTTCTATAAACATATTAACATATTTCTATATGTAAATGGTCTATGGTTTCTCAATTTTTTGTATTTGTATAGCTTTTGTATTTTTCTATGCCTTACTAATAGATACTTCATTTGTTATTTAAAGATCAAAAATAATAACCCTCTCAAAAAATACTTTAGTGTAAATGCAAATGAAAAATTTCTTTAAAAAAAAAATCTATGATTTATTATTTAAGCAATTAAACTAATTAAATTATTATAATTATAATTACATTAAAAACTAAATATACAAAAAATTAAAAGTCTATAAAAGAAGATCCATTGAGATTAAAAAGCTGTCTAAAGATGTCTAAAGATAAACACAAACAATTTTATGAGTTTTTTCAATTTACAAGTTATTTTTATAATGAAACAACATCATGCGAGAGTGAATTGTAGTGTTTTGAACTCTAAAGAATCGCGAGGTTAGCCGCGACTAAATTATATCATGAAAAAACTACTACAAATTACTCTCCTTGAAATCTTACAGAGGTTATTGCCATGACGCTACTTCAGGCAAAATTACTTTTGTTTCTAAAATACAAAATAGTTTAAATCAGTATTAACAACTATTAAATATATTTAGTAATATTTTGTGATTGTGAACTCGTATTTTTATATTATAAATTTAATTACGGTCAATCATTGAACATTTTCTTTAGCTTTTGATGTATACTTTATATTTTTGATACAATTTAAAAACCGAAAGTATTTAATATTAGTAATGTAATGTGTCTTTCGTGGTTAATGTTGGCTAACTTGTTAAATTATAATTATTAATAAAAATATATTAGTAAGATAAAATAAATAATTTAATTTAAAAATTTAAGTTTAGAAGTTCATGTTTTAAATATAATCATTGAATTTTTAACAATGACTAAGTTAATCAAGTATTCCAAATTTTATTTTTTATGTGATACTATTTTTGTGTTAATTGAGCTGGAAATATATACTTAATCGGATACGGTTTAAACTTGTAAGAGGATTTCAGAAAATCGTAAATAAAAAAGTTGTTATTTTATTATACAATTTTATAGGATGTATAAGAAAATTATTAAAATTATTCTACATACCTTCAACATGATTGCTGACTTGAGATGAACAGTCCAGTGTGCAATTCGTGTTTTAATACAAGGCTTATAAAGGAGCATGACTCCCTACCATGAAATAGAGGTACCAATGATCTGTTTCGGACTATTAAAATTAAAATCTCAATTATAGAAAACACAAAATAATGGTTTAAAAAATAGAGAATTATAATAGTAATGTCTTATTGCTGTCTAATTAATAATTACTAATAATGATTATTAATAATAATTATCGATATAAATAATTTAATTTCATTGAAATTTTTCCTAATAATATTATTGCAATATTTGTCAATAATTTTTTTAGATAATGTATTTTTTTACAAAAATCATATTAAGCGTTTTACTTATTATAGCAATTTGCATGATAAAAATTACTTTTCATATTCGCATTTTAGTCTCTAATTGTATAATATTATAAAATTTTTCATTGAAAATTCTAAAACAATACATTCACTTTAAAAAAAAACTCTGAATTTTTATTTACTACTATTAGAAGTTTTTAACGCATGCAATGTAAGGAGGAATTTTGATAAATATCATGTTAATGTGATAAAAATGTTATATTTGTATAAAAATTATCGATTTTTTGTCAAAGTTCCACTATTTGTACATAAAATTAATGTGTATATTAAAAATAGCATACTGACATGTGGGAATTTTTCGACCATTTCTTACAGTGTTTATAAAAAAAAAATTTGGTTTTGGAAAAAAAATATATAGTTCCAAAAGTTTTGATTACACAAAACCTTATTGTATAGGTTTAAATGTTAAGTAGGTCTTTTTATTTTCAATTCAAGTTCTATTAAATGTAATTATATTACATCACTAAAAAGAAAATTTACAAGTATATCAATACGATTATAATACAATGTCACACAAATCTCAGTAGCCTGTAGGTTTGTATATCAATCACATAAAAGCATTAATAATGTATCAATAAAATTAAATTAGGAAAGTCATTGATTGGTATGTTGTAACAAAAGAATTTCGCAAAGAAATAGTAACACTTTAGTTACTTAAGCTAAAAAGTAAACCTTTAATAATTGCTCGAGTTCACCAATGTGTTAAAGCATAAAAGTAGAGTTATTATTATAAAACAATTAATATGATAATTTTGTTATAAGTGACTTTTGAAAAAAATTTTGTTTCAATGACTGTTATAGAAACAAATTATGAGCACGATATACTAAAAAGAATCTTTTGTAATTTATAGTACTCTGCATACATTATTGGAAGATATTTTTCTTGTTTATTATTACTAAGTTTTTTTCATGAACAACTAATATTTTTTAAATGAATACTGGTTATCAACAAATATTGTAATATATTTATATTCCTATAAAATTTTTAAAAATTACATAATATTCTCACTTAAAATTTTTTTTTTTAATTACATTTTAGGCTTCTGAATTTGTAAATGCTAATTTATTAAATTGTAAAATTTACTGTTCATCATGCTATTATTTATGTATGTGTGTAAATAAAAATATCAAGAATGTTTTGATTATATTTGTATTACGTATTTCTGTTTTGTATGTTTGAAAGTAAAAATGAGAGTCTAAGACTTTTTCAAAATAAATTAACTATTTTAGTTCAATAATTTTAAAGATAAATTAACGAGTATGTAGAACATGTCTTTGTTGTATACTAAATTATCTAGTAGCAATATTTGTTTAAATTTAATAAGTGTAATTTATTTTTGTTAAGATTGTAGTATAATTATACACAGTTGACAAAGCTGTAGCAATGTCGCTTGTTTGGTTAGAGAAAACTAAAGAAAATGTGAAGGATTTAATGGAAAAAATTACTATTGAAAAACATTAATGCCAGACGATCTCAAATTTATTAGCATAATAATCGCAAATGTGTAGGTTACACTGAGAAACCGGTACCACAAATGATAAAGTATCTTCAATCAGTGGTTATCCAATAAACAAAATATAAAAATGTAAATTATGTAAAAATTATTCGTGGTTTAACTTTGGTGCCATTGACCGTGACTTAGAGATAATTTAATAAAAATTGTATTACATATATATATTTTGGAATTTTTGATAGTTTACTAAAATGTGTAATACTTTAAAATATATTTGTGATATTTATATTATAAGTATATGCTGAAATGCTTATAATATGTTAAATATTGAAGCATGTACTTATGTTTAAACGTTTAATCTGGTGTAACTATATAATAACAGTTACATCAGTGCTCTATTACAAATATAAGTTTAAAAAGGGTAATTAGATCAATTTTGACGAACTTGACAGTTTTTGTACGAAAACCATAGGAATTAACAAAAATCTCCTAATCATAATACTTGCTAAAATCCGTAATTTCACAAAAAACATTTGTTTTGTTACAGTAAAATTTAAGAATAATTGAGTATTATATTAAATCTATAGTTAAAATATTATTTGTCATCTATCCCAATTAAACATTTATTAATTAATATCTAAGCATGAAATATATCATTCTTATTTGTAAGTAATAATATCGAATACAAGAGCAAATCAAGTCTAGGACCGTTACTTTTTATTTTAAGAAGGGATGTCATAAAAACTATTTAAAGAGAGTTATTTGAAAAATGGTAAATGATCATTTTTTCTCATATGGCAAAATTGGACACAACACAAAAATTGTCATTTTTGTGATTTTATATCAATATATATATATATATATATTGATATAGAAAACTAAATTTTATGGCAAAAAAGTTTTATTAATGTAAGTATAGTAGCTTTGACAAAAAAGGCTTGTGGCAAATTAATAATTTACACTTTCTACAAAGGATTAGTAGTGTTTGAGTAGTGCTTCAAGATTACCTTCGCTTGAATCAAGAGATCTTAAAAAGAGTTATGTTTTTATGAAATTGTATCTCCTTTGGATTGGTAGAAAATTGTATCTTACCATAGCTTCAATCTGGCCTGTGTTATGTGTTTGGAATGGGGTCTCCCATCTTAAAGGTTAGGGTTATATCCTTTTATTCAACAACCGCTATTGAAGGATGGGTGATGTTTGTTATCATAAATTAATACCATCTCTTTGCCTTCTTCTCAGATTTCTGCTGCTTCAAAAATCACCTATGATTATGTTAGTAATGTACCACGGGCCACTTTCGGATTTGAAATCAGGAGTTATGAAAGGGGAATTCGGTAGTTTTTACTATTATGAAACTAAGATGGTCAGAAAGTGTATTGTGATGAATATGATGTCGTTTTCTTAGTATATCTTGACTGACTAGATTAGGTTTTGCGAAAAGAGCATTGCCATATTTTCTATGGTGTCTTAATGCCACTAACTTCATTCTATAAATAGGATGTTCCTTTTAACGCTAGCTACTTAATTTCTCTTAAAATAATAGTTATTTTGGCTTTTGTTAGTTATACATGTATCTCCATATTTTTGTTATAAAATATTTTTTATATTCATTCCTTATTTTGTATAGAGGTGTCAATTTAATTCTATTAAATGGCAACATACATTTTTAATTATCTTGCAAAATAGAAAATGATCTATTACAGACAATGACTGTTAAATAACATTTGGATCAGTTCTTGGGAAGATATTCATACTTTTGTAATTTTCTGAGAGGGGTAATGCGATCGAGAAATGACATATGATAAAAATAGAAGCATCTTCGTTTCACCTGCTGCTTATATTATAAAATTCTAATTGAGATTAATTTCAATCTATAAAAAAAACGAATCAATTTTCTGATTGCAGAAGTGTCCTAGAAGGTCTGTTCAAAGGAAATTTCACTGTATATAAATAATTCATTATAGAATTTATGTTCGGAATGACAGTTAGTTAGTCTATTAGTTGGAGTTATATTGATGGATTGACTTGTTTTTATAAATTTGGTGGTTCTTCTTCATCTTAGAATTTTTGTTGTTGTTATTTTCATAATTTTATTTTTTTTTAATAAAATAATGAACATTTTTTTAATTTTTAATTTTTGATCTATTTTTATTTAATTTCATTCTTAGTTCATTTTTTTACCATTTTGTTATTTCGTATAATATTGTTCATAATCTAGTATGTTAGGCGATTTTTTAAATTTTTTTGAAGAATTATTTGGAGATAATTTATCCATTAATAGTAGACACTACTATTTTTTCTAATAATTGATTGATTTAAATTTGATTTATATTTTTAATTTAATTATTTTTAATAATCTTACTATATAAGAAAACATTGAAAAATAAATTATTGATGTCCAAATTAAACCTTTTTAGCTATGATTCGAAGCTGAGAAGATATTGGTTTTACTATGATGTGTTTTTTTTTTTGTGTCTGTTACCACTTTTTCTCAGCTCTCACCGAACCGATTTCTTTCAACGATACGTCAAAAGATCACAAATCGTATCTAGTCGAAGACATTACCCTTCAAAATTGAAAAAATTTCCCTCGTTCCCCGTAAATGGGGGAAACCTCCAAAAAAATTACAAATTTAAAAATCGCTAATTTTCGAAATTTTTTCAATTTTTTTTACTAAAAACTGCCGTAACTTTTTCAAAAATGAACATATCAATATAATTTTGATGTCTTAACTTATCATTTGGTATATTTTTTTTGTAAATCTGACACTTAATCTGCTCACAGGGGGAATTTAAAATGACAACTTTTTCACAAAAAAATAACTTTTTCAACTTAAATTTTGAAAGTGTTTCGGAAAGTCTAACACTTTTATATATATCTTAAATTAAAGCTAATGTAATATAATTTATTATGAAAAAAAAAAAATTCGGAATTTATTTTGTCTTCACGGTGAAAATGGCTACCGAATGCTATTTTTGTGTGAAAATTCTCGATTTTATTTTTTACATTTTTAACTTTATAATGCTATGACATATTGAAAAGTGTATGGATCAACATTATTTTTTTATGAGAAATAATATTTTTTAATAATCCCTTTTTCATTCGACATACTTTATCTTAATTAGGATATTAATAAGGAAATAGCAAATCATGTAGCTTTTGGAATAATACACCAATTTTTTAAAATTTAACACTATCTAAAGATTTGCATTGAAGCCTTTTTTTTGATAGTGATTTTAATCACTG